ATAGTCTGGGGACACTCCTTTCTAAAGTGCGTTTAACACACCGGAGAAAACGGCCGGCAACAAAGCAACGCCTCCTGCATTTTTGAAAAGGACACGCCCTCCCGGAAATGTGCGCTCCCCCTTTTCTCGTCTGCAAGGAAACAAACACACGGAGAGCTTGAAAATGGATGCTGAGAGATTTAACTCCGTTTTATCAAACGTGTGTTCAGTCCACAAGATTGTGGAAATGAAGGACTTACAGCGACTTGAGCCATTTTGTACTGCTACATGTGTTTCTAGTGGGACTATGTTCAGCGAGCCACCGAAGGACCGCCCTGCAGATTTACTATTGGTTCTGCAACGTAGGGAGTTCAGAACTCTGAAATTGTATCCGCCCATCTAAACACAAAATCAGGGAGAAAGTCATCTGTCTCTAGTTAAGCAAAGCGTCTAAAGACTGACTTGTGAGTCTACTGTCGTCAATACACGTGACATACGTAGGTGAACAGGTCTGTTACGCTAATTTGCATGAAGTGGTGTCCCAATTCGTAGGTAAAATTCCCTACCCCTCAAAACTACCCCTTTGTCGTTGAGGGGAATCTATCTGGCGAGTGCACTTGAAACCAAGGGGTAAAGTTAAGGGAAGGGAATTGGGATTGGCCCTAATTTTGAGGCCGCAAAAAATGTGGCATGTGTACGGCCCCTAATGGCGTACTCCTCGACTGAGCTATAACATTAGCTAGCTTAGTGGATCTAGGTGAGCTAGCAGTAGATGCACGCTTCCTTCTGCGTAGTGATACGGTTGGTGGGTGAGGTTTGGTAGAAAGAAAATAGTTCCTACCGAAACTGCTCACAACAAGGTCTGTTGATTATCTTGAGTAATGTATTTTTTGTTGCTTTGAGCACCACAAGCTGAGTGCCATCTTGTTCCATTATATTATTATTTTTCAAAATTATAGTCTCCTAGAGTAGTTGGGCTACTTCACATAGAAACAAAAGAAAAAAGAAAGCATCAATCTTTACAAGAGCTACTGTATGTGTCCCCCCCACCCCCCCACCCCCCCCACCCTACGATCCCAACATCTCAGATAACAACCCAAACAAACAAACAAACAAAATAATAATAAAATAATAATGACAGTAATATATATAATGAGTCCAGTCTCCAGTCTACAGTTCAGCAGTGCCCAGCGGAGTCAGGGGACAAGGACAAAAGTTAAGGCAGCAAAAGTCCAACTGGGGCAGGTGGGAGTGGTGGTGGATGGGTCCAACAAACACCAATTTTCACCCAAGAGAGCAGGGTTCACATCGTCGAAGTGTATTTTGAAAGAAGACAATGCATCTAACAGGCAGAACCTGACACGAAGTCCCAGAACATCAACAACCAACACACCCAGGGTACCTTGCATGTCGTATATGTGACGAGGTTGGAGTGAGAATGTGTTGAAATAATAATACATACATTCTTACATACATACATACATACATACATAGGACTACCACAATGAATAATAAAGAGGAGTAAAGTAAATAGTCTTGTATAAAGAGCCGACGAGTCTGAATTCACTCACTCTGCCTCACGAGACCAACATTAAAATCTCATTTTCACATGTCAGAAAAAATATTCATTGTATTCTGCTGCTGCAAAGTGTTTGTGTCTGCCACACTCAAACACTTTGCAGCTTATTTTTGGTGTAAGCTCTGTCATTAAAAAAAACAAACAAAAAAACCTACTTTCCATTTGTGTCACAGCGTGCAGATCCAGATCCAGGATCAATGCTCCTGTGTGCAGAGGCTGAGGCAATCCCCTTTGTGCACCACAGCCTTGTGTATTTATTGATCTTTTAATGCAGCCACATATAGTCAGCAGTGACAGTTTGACACACGGGGAGTCATTATTCATTTGACTTCAACATTAAAGATACAGATGGCCAGCATCAAGATAATCTCAACATGAAACTAGGCTGTACTTGAGTCAATAACAGATGGAACATTGGTAACAAAAGCTCAGACCTGTGCTGCATTACATATCCCCTCCCTCTGGGGTCCGTCCATCAATACTACATACACAAGCACGAAACCTGCCTTGTATTTTTGGATGTTCGAGGTCATCAAAAGAGCATGGAACACTTTTACATGACACTGAACAGCAGAATACAAGCAAAATAACCTTTAACACTCCACAAAGGGGAATTACACTCTTTCTTTCTGCCTCTGGACTGTTCAGTCAGTGTCTGTGATCTCACCCTGTGAGTCCTGAATTTCTGCCAGTGCAGGTGTGAGAAGACACAGACACAGCAGAGAGACAGTGGTTACCAATAGTTACTCCTGACTGCTGTTTGGACCTTTTGATAAAGAAGAATCCATCTCTCCCAAAGCTGCGGTGAATAAACCGACTTAATGACCTTCAGGGCTTTTAGTCCTTGTTAAATAATTTCTGATCTGTGATGGAAGCGAAGACAAATCTAATAACCTTCACAGCTGAGTGACTTCTGTGGCGTCAGGGATGAAACCTGCTGCAGGTCATCCAGAATAATAAGATGAGGACGTAGACTCTATCCTTGGAGGTGCGAAACACTGGCAAGGAGCCTATGTTGAAATTAAAAAGTAGGAAAAGTCAGATATCTTTGTGCTGAGAGTCTAAGAGTCACAAAGAAAATTCATCCAATTTGCAGTTCAATGAGGAAAAGAGTCACAGAAGGATATCACTTATGGAAAGGACTCCCTCTGGTGGATCATCGTAAGACATTTATATATCCAACTTCTCAAGCTGTTGTATTGCACAGGATTGCACTTCTATATTGTTGGGAGACTTTCAAGAGACAAGTTAAAGAAATAATGGTCAAAAATAAAAAAAAAACAGAAGCAAAGTACCCTGATGTTTAGTCTCAAGGAGAAAAACAGCTGGGTTTTACATTTCCCACAATGCAACGTCATAGCAGTTTTCATTAATTCCCCGTGTTTTTTTTCCCCCACTTAAATTTTTACAGAGTTTTTGCTGAGGACTGAACAACAAAAGCTCCATGAAATACACAAACCAAATAAAAAATTCAGATGACCTTCACAGCCCTTTTTTATAATGCAGGTTTTCTGTTAAAAAATGTTTGATGAAATATTTAGTTAGCCAAGATAAATCAGGGTTATTTTTGTAGACTTTCACAATTCCAAAACATAACCCTGAAACTATTTTTGTTTGTTTATTTATGTTTTTTTTTCTTTCAGGTTGGTTAGGAGGGTACTGGTTTGAATTAAACATTTTGGTGCATTTCATTTATAAGTTTTTTTTTTTTTTTTTTTTTTTAAAAAAAAAGGCTTTCTGTTAAATGTTTTTTGTGGATGTAATACTTTGTTAAGATGATATGAAGATTTGCAGCCATTATGTTAAACAATCTTTATATAGTAATGGAAACTGAACAGGTATGTTATAATGAATATATCTGGACGAATCTGTCAAAAACAATTATAAGATTAGGTAAGGTAAGGTAAGATAGGATAAGATAAGATAAGATAAGATAAGATAAGATAAGATACCATGAGGTGAGATGAGATGAGATGAGATGAGATGAGATAAGCTTAGGTAAGGTAAGGTAAGGTAAGGTAAGGTAAGGTAAACTTAGGTAAGGTAAGATATACTTTATTCATCCCCCAGAGGGGAAATTCAAATGCCACAGCAGCACAAGACAAAAACAAAAAGACATTCAAAAGAATAAACAGAAAAGAGAAAAAATAGATAAATAAATATAAAGATAAACTAAAAAAAGGCTACATAAAGATGAATTAAGTGACTGAAAATGGCAGACAAAGTGTTGAATAAAATATAGTGTAATGTCAGCTTTAAAACAAAAATATGGTTATTTCACTTTCAAGTCCACAGGAGGGTCAAACAAACAATATCATTGTCGCTTTCTTGGATAACATTGGATAAGTTTGAAGTAGTTGTCTCTAGATTAGTTTGGAATCAAGTATGTTGTTTCAGTTTTTTGTATATATGTACTGTGCAAAAGTTTTGCACTTCTAAGTACGTGGCTCAGGTTGTCACTTTGTCTTTTACGTTTTCTTTCTCATTATATAATGCCCTTGTGAAGCACTTTGTGACTTACATCTATGAAAAGAGTTGTACAAATATATATTACTGAAGTAGCCTGTCTCAAATACAAGGTAACTTTCTGTCTCTCTTCTAATATTGAATTATATACAGGATGGTGAAAATGCCTGTTTGAAAGAGGGACCTGAACCTTGTGTTGCTCAGAACTTTCTTCTGGTTGATGGACTAAATCAAAAACATTTTTTCCAGCCAGGCTGAGAGCTAATTTGCAGCCTGATCCATTTCGGTTTTGGATCTTTCAAGTGTATTTTTCCACAGAATAAATTCTATGTAGTGTCTCATAAAGTGTGGCACCTCATTGACCATGTACTGCTGTGCTTATTGCAAAGACTTATATGACTGTATATCATTCAAGGACTTTGACCTAATAACAAAAACAACAATATGCCTGATATTATATTTCTATTTCACATTAATTGCTACCAACAATATATTAGGAAATTCCTAAAGTAAGTACCACCAGCTATAAGTACAAAACACACCATTACACCTTTTCATCACAGCCAACATTATGTTTTGGTTAAAATGGCATTTAATGGCAATATAAATATCTTTTTGTAAATGAACTTATTACTCATGAAACTGTAACGTGAATTTAATAAACAATTAAAGTCTCTTAAGTTTTTACTTATACACAACTAGTTACAAGGGTGACATCTAGCGTCCATTACACGCATTGCAGGTAGCTCTCACCGGGACGCGTTCGGTTATATTACTCGTGTCTATAGACAAGACTCAAGACTTGGCTTTTTCAATCTGTGTATAGTGCTTGTGAAGCCTAACCCACAAAATTGTTCATGTAACAGACAAGGAATAAATAACATTTGCATTAACGCCGTTGCAGCGAAATCGTTTCAGCAAAGTGAAGAAGTCGTAAATAACCGGACGCAGCCCTCAGTCTCCGGTCACATGCTAGTCAAGCTGGATCAGCTGACACCGCACAGCTTCTCCTTTTGATGCTGTGTCTCCTCCATCGACTGTTAGCGCTTCTCTAAACAGCATTATTTCGCTATCTTGGCCTCACTGGCGTCAAATTTAAATATTTGAGCCGAGGTTATCTCGCTGTACAGCAGGTTACACCGCCGGATAGATGCTGCTAGAGTGGATGATGAACGGACACGCTATTCTGTACACGGGGGTCACTTTGGCCTTCTGGAGCACCATACTTATCGTCGGTAATGTTATATTTCCCTTGGATATTTGTCAGAATTTTGCAGTAAATTAATGTAATCACATATTTTGCAGACGTATGCAACAATAACAGTGCAGCCAGTCGGTCTTTTTCCCTGGCAAAGCGCGTTTGTAGCGTTTGACAGCTACAATTTGGGACCTGGCTAAATCATGGGACGAGAGTGGTTGCGGCTCTTTCCGTATTGCTTGCTAGCTGCTATTGTAGGTTAAACTGCAAATTGGAGATGCTGTTATCTATTGAGCGTAGTAATTAAGACGTCAAAACACAGTTACCCTAACATAATCGATAGTAGTCATACACATAGTCCGTGTATTATAGCTAACATTAAAGACAAGCGAACCGAGTTAGCAGTCGCTAGCATATATTGCTACTTAATGTTAAGCTAACGTCAGTTAGCTCAAAGCTAACAGCTTGCAGCAGGAAACGTCAGCAATTCAAACGTTTTACAACAGTGTTTGCAATTCAAGCGGACTACTTTCAGCCTTTCTTTGATAGGAATTACGAAGGGGTCCCGGTTTGTTATTCTTTCAATAGTTTAAAGCGTTTAAATTCTCTAAGCTAACGTTAGCCGGTTAGCTGTTCGTGTACACAGCTGTCAGATGTGAAACGGTTCCAAACAGGAACTGCAGCAGTTTTCACGTGAGACTGAGCTATCACACTTAAGTTACAGCTTCTCTCCATGACTGTAGCACATAAATGTGACACTCATTCACACATGGTTCAGGGGAAACGCTTATAGATGCAGTAACATGCTGTAAATGTCTGTACTAAAGGGCTCTGTCACACATATATATCTAGCTTACTTGTAAACATACATCTGGCTGACCTCTGTTCACTTTCACATCTAATTTAATAACTTTGTTTTCATAGGTATCTGCTACACCATATTTGACCTTGGATTCCGCTTTGATGTGGCATGGTAAGCAACATTGGTATATAGCTACTGTCTGCAGGTTAATCAGCACGATTGGGATAACTGTAGGACAAAACACTATTTAATAGTTGACTCAAACACTTCCCCAAAGAGGACAACCCAAGCTGTCAGTAAAATATACATGAGTATGAATGAAAGAATTCTAATTAGCAACTATTTTGTTTGTATATTAGTTATTTCAGTCATTTTTACGCCAAAATGCCAAACGTATGTTGTTTGAATCTTCTCAGATGTGAGTATTTGCCGTTTTTTGTCATGTATGGTTATCAATTTATTTATTTTTTTGAGTTTCGGCCTGTTGTTAAAATAACAAGTAATTGTCAGTCCACTTTTTCAGTTGAGTGTTACTGATAGTATTCCTCTTTCAGAGAAATAGTTGCCGAAACAGACAGTACAGTATTACAATAACAGAAGGACACTGACTTTTCCTAGATTGCACAACTACAAGAATACTGCCACACTGCCCTTATACACTACTTTCAGGCTCTTTACTGCAGCAAAGTACTGTTGCTAAGCATTGCTTTTGATTTTGCTGTGACTGATTGAGGGCCTGCCCTTCTCTTTGAGAGGGTGGCACTAACATGTCTTCACACGAGTGTGTAAGTGAACTGGCTTTATAATATGGAAGAATAAAAGATAATAAAAGTAACTTTGCCCTCCGAGACTTATCTCAACTTTGCTTACGTATTAAAATTTATCGTTTAAATTACGGTTAGCACATTTTTAGGTGAGCTAAGCCTTGCAGTAAACATCAGAATACAAGGTTGCAATTAAACTTAGCCTGTGTTTATTTTACCAGTAGTCTGGATCACTTTCTGGTGTGGCCCTGGTTTAAAGGAAGTAGTGGCCAAGTGATTAGGCTGATATGTGGCGTCACATTTGCCAGTGGCAACTTTTTTGTGGATATGTCCTTATTAATATTGTAGATGATATAGGTTATAACATACTTCCATGATGCGTAAGCAAGTGAAGAAAACCAAATCTCCTTACCACTTTGGAAACACATGGTTCACAACAGATACATTAATGTTTTGCTGCCTGTACACATTACTTGTCCTCATAAAGCGTATTCTTCATCAGCTGTACCTCTTTGCTTGCAGGTTCCTGACAGAGACTTCTCCTTTCATGTGGGCCAATCTGGGCATTGGCTTGGCCATCTCTCTGTCGGTGGTGGGGGCAGCCTGGTGAGTATGCAACAAGGAGCACAGTTTAGAGTGGTATTTTGGATGTGTTAGTAAGCCAGGGGTGGTGGTACTCAAAGGCCTAAAATGCACCGGCCTTTCATACAGTAATTTCCTCTTTTTTGTAACACTTGGAAAAGTACATCATGTAAAAAATGTGGAACTGGAAAATCTTAGATATGGTGACACAGGAACACTGTTGAGTATCTTTTGGATGAAGTTATGCTCCTGTTTAGGTTCAGAAATTGATTGGAGACTTTGATGCCATTATTTCAGTTATAAGAAAACACTTTTTATAGTTTTCTATAATTGGCCTCAGGGAGCACTGACAAACTAACTCCATCTCTAACATCGGCTCAGCGGTTAAACACTGCAGACCACTGATTGGTCAGAGAGAATTGTCACTTGCACAAGACAGAGCCTCCTGCACAATTTTGCCAATTTTAAATAGCCAAGCTACCGTCAATATCGACTGCAATTTTTTCTGGCTCACTTGACCAAGATTTTTTAAAACTGGCAGCCCTTAAAACTACTGTGTACACAATGTACACTATGCTGTGCAACTGTGTTTGGTTGCTGATGAAAGGCTTTAGTAAGTGTCTTGTTGTAGGTGATTTCAAAGCAGTGTCACACGGGGTTGCATTGGTGATCAGCTGAGAATCCCGCTCACGCTGATGGAGTACTATCTGCAGTGGAAAATGAAATGGAGAGAAACACCTGTTACGAGAGTGGGTTGAGTTTAGCCAAACCATGAAGTGAAAATTGAATAATAGGTTGACAAAGTCGGCAAAGTTTGACTGTTGCACATGCCGCTTTACATCTTGTGTTAAAAGCTGCCCTTGAACACACATAAAGCCTGAAACTGAAGGCCTGCAGCCTGCCAGGGTGCATGTAGACTAGATCGATGTCCTCCACAGAACATTGCAAAGAGACAGCCATATTAAACCAGCCAACTTCTTTTACACCACTAAATCTTTATATTTATAGGTTATATGGTTGAATTATAAATTGAGAATATTTCTTATTTAAAAATGGAACTGGCACTGAAAAGCTTGGCCTTGCTTTGTGCTGCTGTTTTTAATCCTTGGTCTTTTGTGTGTGGATGAAGACAAGTCAGAGATGGAAAATATACTGAAGCCGCCTCTTAATGGGTGAAATCATTGATTCACCAGCATGAACAGTCAGAGAGTCTCTAACTGACTTCCTTTGATGCAGATTCAGTCAGAAGTATTGGCTGAACAGCTGCAGATAAGGGCAGTTTAAAGCCAGTTGTGCAGGACAGTCAGCTAAAACTACAGTCAACCATTCAGCAGCTGTTGGCCTGGTGTGTTAGGGCCCAGACATGCTACGTCCCATGTCACTTAAAATTTGTCGTAAGTGTCTTGTATTTTCCGGTATCCAAAAAAAATTATATTTTAGGTTTTATTTTACTGAGAGCTCCCTGCTTGTTTTGCATCCTGTTCGATATTTGTTTTCATTACGCAATATCCATTTAGTAGTTTTTACTGTAGTTGCCACTATGATAGCACACACCTTGGATAATCAGATTTTAAAGAGGGGTTTTGACAGGGTGTTTGCGCGTGTACAAATAATAATAATAAAAAAAAAACTGACTTAGACCCCGATCACACAAAAAGAGTTTTGCAGGTTGCAAAACATGAGGTGCACTGCACGGCCTTTTTTTTTTTTTTTTTTTTTTAAAGTAAATGCCACTAGTAACAAAAATACTTAGTGTTCCTTTTCATTGTTGCCAGGCAACCACCCCATCACCTCCTTATCCTAACCTTCCTGTGTAATCAATCTGCTGTTTATTAATTTTGTTTATTTCACAGTCCTAGTAGCTGGTTATTAAATTGGACAGGCAGAGGGTACTCACTGTAGCTCTGGTTGAGGGTGAGAGTCAGCACACACTGTGTTGGGCACAGGGAAACGGAGATCCGTGTGGGTACATGAGACTCTAAAAAAGAGGATGGATCACGGGGAGTACCACCAGTTGGTCCAGGAGCTTCGCCACATTTTCTAATGAGATTGTAGTAACTGCGTTTTTTCAAGTCGTATGGTCATATAGTCACAAAGTCGTATAGTATATAGTGCATATACTTTGGCAAAAATGCCAGGCACATAGCGCACAGAAATGTGAGGCGTGGAACGATGCAACAGTGAGCAAAAAGCTTAATTCTCTTAAAAAATGATTACAATAAGATGCCTCCAGCTCCTAAAACGCACTCTGTGTGATCAGGGCCTTAGTTGCTCTCTGATCAGTAGCTGATTAGTTCAAAAATTTGTAACAAACTTTCGCTGTTTTCATAAATAATTATGAATCTTAGAAGACACAATGGGTATCTCAAACAATTGTTAGTCTAGTAGTTTTCAGAGCTAAAATTAACTGCAGTCTGACTGATGGCCATATTAAAGGGGCACTCAGACTGCAAAAAAAGAAAGTGAAAAATGATTTGTGTGTTCACCCATGATTCAGATCTGCTCTGCTTCAAAATGTATTGAGTTCTTCCTTGGCCCATGCTGCACCCTTCCACCATGTTCCTCTGTAATTGTGCTGGCAATGAACATACTGACCAGCGATCCAAACCAAAAACAAAACACACTTGGATAGTAATTTTTTTTTTTTTTTTGGTTTGCCGTCTCCTTACTCTTTGTTTTTCTGTCATGTTATAGATGTTGTGCTGATTGTTGTTTTTGTTTTCCAGGGGGATCTACATCACTGGCTCAAGCATCATTGGTGGTGGTGTCAAGGCTCCACGGATCAAAACCAAGAATCTGGTCAGGTAGGTTCATTTTTCATTTGTCCAGTTGAATGTCCTTGAATATTACTGCTAAACAAAAAAGGTAGTTGAAAAAAATTATCATATTTAACTAATTAAATAATTTCCAGCCTCCTGTAAATGTGGAAATACTGGGCTAAAAAACCTAAAATTGCCAATTGCCTTCCTCATTGAGAAAAATGTCGTAGTTATTTAATACCAGAGAGCAATATCAAAACATCTGTAAATACCTCAAATTAGAAGTGCAGCTTCACACAAGTGTTATATATCTACATAATGTGCCCAGTGTACTCCAAATAAATACACCCTCACTAAAAATTTTAAAATGATGAGAGTCCTGCTCTCATTGACCTTCCCAACACTTCACCACTGAACAAGCCTGCATGAGTGACTGTCAGTGTAGCCAGTGAGTTAAACTGGCTGCAGTTTAACTCACTGTTTTTAACCACTTTAAAAACTTTAAACCACTTTAAAAACCAAATCAACTCTCTGACTTTGTGTTTGCATTTTGATGTTTCCCTTTAGCATCATCTTCTGTGAAGCTGTAGCGATCTATGGGATCATCATGGCCATTGTAATCAGCAACATGGTGGAGGTAAATCACAAGACTTTTTGTTGTTTATGATCAAGAAAACTGTGCAGTTATCCATTTTGTGTTAGGAGGGGATTTTAGACAGGGGCAAAGCAACACAGCAATAATTTCAAGCATTGTAGATGTGCGACAGAAAGACGTTAAATATGATTTCAGCAGTGAAGTGAGGATGTTTTGGTTCTAAAAATGATTTCTGTCATTGTACAGCATTTCACTGGAACAACCCCTGAGACCATCGGGGCAAGGAACTACCAAGCTGGTAAGAAAACAGACATAAAGTCACAGATAAATGTCAACGATTTTAACATGAAATGGCACCTGGAACACAAACTGCAGTACTCAGGATGAATTTTTTCTCTTTTTTAACACATTAATTCAATGTAGACGGTGACGTCTCAAGTTTGAAAAAGGTTATATCATAAAGTGACAGTGGGTTCTAAGTTGATTACGTGATATGGTCTTGTTTACAAGTTCTGTGCATTACTTATGTTTGAAAACAGTTATGAAAATCTTAAGATACGTACAACATTCAGTCTAAAAAGCTATTAAATATGGATTGCTCAATACATTTACAACATGAAATGGATTTTGAGAGACCTATTAACATGTATTAAAGGGCATGTCACCATTTTTTAACCATTAACCATCAAAACATTGTGGGTTGAATGTGTACATGAACTGTTGTAAACCTCCCTCCATCTAACCAGTGCTTAGATATCCCTCCTTGCCCCTCAGTGAAACTCTATGTTCTACTGTTTTTAGCTGTAATAGTGAGAGTTTGTTAACAAGAAGTGGGCACCATACCAAAAAATTGAGATCAAACTGTAGAAGTAAGCAGCGCTGATTGTATGTAAACCAAAATTCGTTTTCTGTGTTGCCTATTTCTCGCCTTTCAGAAACATGTTTTAACTTACTGTTAAACTGTAATACAAGATTGTTTTTTGCCAGCCTGCCACCATTGTTTCAAACCAATATGTTTGCCTTATGTCACCCACCAGCAGGAGTGCTTATTGGTCTGGTTCGACTTAAGCCTAGTTCACATTACACGATTTTCACCCTGATTTTGCATCGCGGAGACTATCGTAATCTTTTGAGTGTTAATACCTGGTGACGTGTGTTTCTGTCATCGGGAGTCTCGCCAACTGCGATACGACCTGTGTGTGCACACCACAAGATTTCTCCACCGAGCCCTCGCTGACAGAGCCCCAGATACAGTGGTTATATTCTTCCCAGTGTCGAATCAGATCTGCCTCCAGGGCCATGCACCAATTTCAGAAGTATTTCCATATTTTTACTGCATAGACATCTGAGTTTTATTAAAAGGCTGTCTTTCCAACAGTGAAATACTTCTTTAACATAAAAGAGAAAGACTGTAATAGTCAAACTCAATATCACCAACGCTTACTTGGCTGTTTCCAGCCTTGACAGGGAATTTGATTTCTGCTGCCAGTCCCACTGTGAATTAGTGGCGGAGGTCTCTGACTCATTTGATTTCCGTCCTCTCAGGTTACTCCATGTTCGGCGCTGGTCTGACTGTGGGCTTTTCCAACCTCTTCTGTGGCATCTGTGTCGGCATCGTGGGCAGCGGAGCAGCGCTGGCGGACGCCCAGAACGCCAGCCTCTTTGTCAAGATCCTCATTGTGGAAATCTTTGGCAGCGCCATCGGCCTGTTTGGTGTCATTGTAGCCATTCTGCAGGTGAATGAGACAGGCTGGTTTTTGTGCCTTCACAATCTGTCTTTCTTCTTCAGAGGAATAAGCTATCCGTGGATTCTGTCTGTAACAATGGTCTTTTGTTGTCAACCATTGTTACAGACTTCTGAGAAATGTCATTCTAAAAGAAAGTAATTACTCCCACAAAACTCCAGATTGATTTACGTTGTGTTGATTGTGTTGATTCTATATTTGAAAGTCAAATATCTTGTGTCTTTTTCTCCCGCAGACATCGAAAGTAAAGATGGGTGACTAGACGACGCACTCACACACTGAGAAGATGCAAAGACACTGCTGGAAAATAAGATGGATTATTGTGTAAATACGTCGTAAATTATTTAAATGTCTCTATTTGCCTGGTATTGTTTTTAACCATCATTTATGCAAGAGAGTGGTACGTGCACACCAGACTGCCTCGTCTTGAGGGAAACATCAATGCTGAATAAGAGAAGTGGGAACAAATCACCAGATGCCAGTGTTCGGTGTGCATTTCTTGACATAAATGAGCGAACCCTGCGTCTCTCCCACAGTTCAGGTCGATGAGTATAGCAAACAGAATGTACACCAGTTGGTTTCAGATCTGTTTCCTGACACCAGCCAGTCTGTAGTCTCTGATCGATTTGCTCTCAAAACTTGCGGATAGTTTCATAGAAGTTGGGGGCATTTTCACAACATCACTTGTCTCTGACCACTCTTGGATGAATGATGAGTTAAAAATGACATCAGATATTTGAAAATACTTGTGTGTGCGTGTGTGTGTGTATGCTGGACACGTGATTTTTCTTTTTCATGTGAAGCATGAGGGTGTTTACCATTGTTTATTACTGTAGCCTGGTCTGTCACTTTTTGTTTTGTAACTGTTCTTTGCTCATAATAAGCAAGTGGTCCTTAATCCACGCAGCGGCCCAAATACAGTATTTGTCAGGCCTCCTGCTGTAGAAATGACAGAGGGTCTATGACGTTTCGAGCTGGAGTGCCGATATGGAAGCATTAGTAAGGTCACTGGGAAATTGGTCATGCTCTTTGGGAGACCAAATAGAGTCAGATCATAGCAGCAGATCTGCTCTAAATATGTCACCCTGTCATTCATTTCCTTAGTTTCCCAAAATGTTATGGAACTCAGATGTGTGCATTTGAGACCATTAAGCCTCTGGAACATCGCTGCCAGCCATGAATTCCTTGTTTACCCCAGAGTGTCCTCTGTTTTTTAAGTTTTAACCAGGTTTCTTTTCAGTAGTTTTTACAGTTGGACGTGAAAGTGGATTGTTCTGTGTTGTCTGGAAGGAAGGCGAAAGATTGTGGATACCCAAAGCTTTTCTTTTAACTTGCAAGGCAACAGCGATGACCTTATCTTGGGCAGGAAAGAGAGGAGTCCCTCAGTTAACAGTATTACATTACACTTCGTAGTAACTGTTACTGTTTGCTGTGGCATCACCATCGTCGTACTAGAGGGGAACACGATGTACAAACTCGTCCTCTGGCTTCGATTTTATGTTATCTCTGGTGTTCTGGCATCCAAAAGTACGGATTCCATCACATAATCAAACAGCGTCATGGGTACAGAGTTTTAAATTTTCACGTTTCTTTTTTTATTCAGATGTCTTGTTTTGAATGTAAGTCTTAACATAGAAGCCCTTCAAGTCTGCGTTCCCATGTTATTTCCAACATTCCTTAAAGAAGCTTAATGTGTGTGTGTAAATGCAAGTCCTGTTTGTGGGTAAAAATTTGAGCCATCGTTAAATCTTTGTCATCAAAGTTTCCATGGACTTTTTATCAGCTGGTGGCTGTGCAGTGTTTCAGCTGATTCCTGCTGATGCTGACTCAGTAATCGGGGTGAATAAATTATTTTTCTGAACCTTTGGCTGCCAGCTGATAGACAAATCGAGCTGATATGGGCACAGACTGCTTGCATGGAAACACATTTGGCAGCACTTTTTGTTCTTGATGCATCATTCCAAAGTTTAAGATGACAGACCATGGCTTATTGTGAATCCTCTCAAACCTTTCCTGTAATTTCCCCCCCTGACCCTCTTGTGGAGTTCTGAATGAGTATAAACGTTGAATCTTAACGTGGGGGAATTGTATTGTCTGTAATATAATCCAGACCCGGCATCCCAAAGGTGTCACACAGCGGCAAGATCATCTTTGCCCTTACGACGGTTTCCTCTAATAAAACCAGGATGTAACTCCAGCGTTCCTTTGGTAAACCAGGCTCTGCACCAAACCCCAGGCTTTCAGTGAGTGTAGTTGGTGCCGTGTGTGCTTTATGTTGACGTGATGGTGATCAGAAAATAAACTCATTCTTTTTTTGACATTGTGTATGATAATAACAGAAACAGATCTTCCTTCTGGCTTCATAAATGTCCCTGAGAAAATAAAATTGTCCAATCAAGATCTTGGTCTTTGTTTCTGATTTATATATTAACATGTTCATGTTAGGACTGCTGTCACTTGTTTCCGCCAGTGTTTACATGCGTCCACTAGATGGCGCAGAGAACCACAACATCTGTCTGAGTGATAAATCTGGTGCTGTACACACTGAAAACTCAGTTGAGGAAAATTTGGCACACATTTCCCGTTCTTATTCAACATGATATGAATTTGTTTTACCTCCCTGAAACTGATCATAATGCTTCTCAGATATATAACCTTCCCTTTGAAGCTGACTGCAGAAGATCTTATGATATCCAGTAATAAAGACCATATTTGTGAACATCATTGTGATGCCAGATGTTATGTTATTAATGATATTTCATTATGCTAAATAAGTAATGGCTTCTTAAATAGAGCAAACTGAATTAACAGCCAGATTAATCTAAGATATATTTTGTTAAAAATCTATTAAATGCAATAAACAGACTCAAGATGCCAGACCCTATAACCAATTTGTTGCTTGAGTGTTAGAGTAACTGACTGTTAGAGTAACCCTTTAAAATGTCCTCAGAGAAGATGTCTGCATTTAAATTAAAAAAGAAATTAGGCAGCATGTGTCATATCTGAGTATTAAAATCATTTTTAACAAATACCAAACCACATTTATGAGTGTTATTGTGATGCCAGATGTTGTTTGAGGGGGTTTACATTAATACCAAATGACTTGTGGCATATTCCCATTGTGAAGACACCATGCAAAACAACCAACTTAAGTTGGAATACATATAATTTAAAATCTTATGACTATAATAAACAAAAAAATGTTTTATTGTAACCTATTTGTCAACTATAAAGAGGGGACAGCTCTCCAAACTCAGCACACCTTGAAAACGGGGTCATCAAATTTTTTTTAAAAAAAAAGGCAAAATCCTGCTTTTAAATAATGATTAAAAAATAACCCTGAAGAGGCATGTGTCATTAACAATTAAAAATAATAATAATAAACCATATTTATGAATGATATGTTGTTGCCAGAAGTTGCAGGGTGATTTTGTAACACCAAAAATGAACACCAAATGACTTGCAGCTAATTCTTATTTTCATTTTCTCATCAAAAAGATATGCAAAACAACCACCTTAATCTGGAATATATATAATCTAAAATATTATGACTATAATAAACAAAAAAATGTCCCTATTAACTGAGTTTTTTTTTTACAGAAAACCTTTAAAATATGTTTGTTTAAGGAGAATAAAAGGACAGACAACTCAATAAATAAAGGAGAATTAGCCTGTTAATGTTGTTTTTATACAAATGTGAATACATTTTTAATTTTGAAGCATTTTGTAACACGTATTGAAATGTGCTGTGATTAAATATTATTATTTAGATGTCTTTTGATAAATATTAACCAATATTTTTGATAATCATTGTGATGCCATAATAAGTATTTAGGTAATTAAAAGTAAAATAGTAAAATATGGTCATCAAAGGTTACATTTCTTGTAAGAAGTCCATGTGAGCTCAAATAAAAACTATAAAATGAGGATTTTTTATTGTCTTGTTAAACACTGCAACATTTGTTATATAGTGCAATAAAAATACATGTTCTTATAATTATGTAAAGATAATATCATACCCTGTGTTCCTGTGTGGAGTCAAAAAGTAGGTTATCAAATTACCAACTTCCTTTCTCTCATTATGAGCCCAGAGAAAAGAAAAGGCGTTTCTGGCCCACCCGGCTTCCGTAGGCAGCAGGAGCGAAGGGACCTGCTCGCTGCCACAGCCTGAGAGCATCCTTTTTCTTTGCTTTCTTATCATCCTCACCAAAACACAGCGGGCTGACGGAAAATCATGAGGATAGCATCTCTGCCTTCACCGGTTTGCGGTACAATATCGTTGCGGGCTACGTTAGCCGTTTGGCTAGCGTAATGCTACACAACATGAGGCTTTCCTCCTGATGAAGAGCAGACATAATAGCCTGTCTGTGGGAAGGAGAAGAATATAGTTATCCTTAGCACAGCGAGCTGGGCTCAGCTTCTAGCTTTTAGGGGTTTTATTTTATTTTTATTTACATTTTTTTTTTACAAACATTTCTGACAGTTTTTTTTAAGGTGTTATTTTTCTTCTTCGGCTGATGTGACTGAATCCAGCGGTGCTCCAGTACAAGAAGATGCACAGATAAAAGTGTTCGCCTGACAACATCAAGGTAGGTGCTCTATCTGCTCTCTGGGATGCATTGTTTCACCATCCACGCTTTCCCTTTGTTTCCACCCAGCCTCCACGCATTTATCCTGCAACCCTTTGCTTTTATTTAAGCTTTGGATATGATGGGAATATGGTCGCGTGCACTGCCCCCTACCCCTCTTTTGTTATCATGCACATTTCCACGGACTAGCAGCATCTCTCCACCCGCCATACTAGGCTCCACTCAGCCTCCCTGCACTGCTCTCCTACTGTACATGAGCCACCTCAGCACACACACTGCTCAGGGGGTTATTTGGGTTTAATTTAAAGCTTTTTAAACACTTAAAATGCACTTTCTTTTGACACCACAGCTGTGTGAAAATGCAGGCACCATTCCCCCTCTATTTAATATAAAAAAAGATGCAAAGTCTATGGACCACAGCATCTCTTGTCTTATGGTCTGGTCACAGCTCACTAAGAGCAAAGTGTGCACAGCCAGGGGAATGAAAGAGAAGAAGAAGAAGAGGAGGAGGAGGAGGGGGCTTCTTCATCATGAAGCTTAACCCAACCAGGCGTTTAAACAGAAGCTTTGTACCTTAGACCATAATCCAATGTGACATGGCTCTCATTTATGACACAACATCTCTTTAGGGCTGCAGAGGCTATAGGAGCAAGTGGGCTGGAACTAGCTCGCTTTGTGATGTAACTAAGTTGTCCAGTGCAGAGTGGCCTTTGGTGGTTTATCTTTTGAGTTTCTTTTGAGCACAGAACATTTTATCTTTTCACTTTAAGGCCATGGTTTTATGGATCGTAATGGCACAATGTCATGAATCATATTTATGGGTGGAGTGTTACTCAAGAGCTAGAAGTTAGATCAGATACCTACTGCACAGGATTTAGGGCCACTCTGCTGATTATTATCTTGATTAATTATTCTATAAGATGTCAGAAAATAATGAGATTTCTTCAAACCCAAGGTGATATCAAATTGTCAGCAGTCCAAAACCCAAAAGATATTCAGTTTGCTTTACATAACACAGGAGAAAAGTAGAAAATACTCACAATTTAGAAGTTACAATAAGAGAATATGTGGCATGTTTACTTAAAATTTTACTAGCAATTCACAAATTATGGAATTGGTCAAAAACGACAATTATTTTTCTGTCAATCGACGACACTCGTCCTTCTTCCATAAATAGAGTAGCATCAAAAAGAAACCAAATATTCATTTTCTGTAACAGCTGAGTCTGTTAGGGGTCGCATGAGCTTCTCCCAGTTGCCGTTGGGGACAGAGGTGGGGTACACCCTGGACAGGTCGCCAGATTATCGCAGGGCTAACACATACAGTAGTCAAGCTAAGCTCATAGCTCGACCAATCAGTCAAGTCGGACTTCTCTTCTTGTCTGAGTTTACATGCATAAGAGAAAATCGAATTTCTGCCCAAGTACGTCTGACCCCACCTCAATAGGCAACACTGTGTCCTTTTAATAAAGTGCGTACTAAACTAGTTCCGGTTCTTGTTCAGAAACTTTTTTGAATAAATCCGTGTTTCATGATTTCCTTCCATCCATAAACTTCAATGTGTTTAGCTCCTCTAGCTGTTGGAGCATGGATGTAGTTTCCTCGTCCGTCCAGAAGTGCGTCTTCTGCTTCTCGTTCGCCATGGTGTTTGTTTGTTTGTTTGGTTTTCCGGGAGTTACTGCATTGCTGCTGCGTCATCTCCTTCTTCTTCCGGGTGAAAGCCTGCGAAAGAAAAAGTGACTCCAGTCAGACTAAGTGGATACATGCAGCAATAGTTCAATTTGCAATCAAATTATCTAGATGTGTTAGTCCAGCTACGGATAGTCCAATTTCAGTCGGACTAAGCTGTTTACATGCATTTAAAAGTCTGGTTTCAGTCAGACTAAGCCAATAATTCGATTTTTTCAAGCTGCATGTAAACGTACTGATAGAGACAGACAACCATTCACACTCACATTCACACCTACGGCCAGTTTAGAATCATCAATTAATTTGCATGTCTTTGGACTGTGGGAGGAAGCTGGAGTACCTGGAGAAAACCCACACTGATATGGGGAAAACATGCAAACTCCGCACAGAGAAGCTCCCCCAACCTGGGTTCGAACCAGGAACCCTCTTGCTGTGAGGCGACAGTGCCAACCACTGCACCCTAATATACTATAATCAGTTATTGAACTCAATGAGTAAACAATTCAAACGTATAATCTGTTGTGCATCTCATGTCACATAAAGTCATACAAGGGACAACTCCAGTGAAATGTGATCCTGTCAGCTCCTTCAACTTGTGCATTGTCATTTAGTCCGTTCTTGCTTCTTACATTGCAGGCTGCTGCTTTATAATTGTTTCCTGACAGACTACAGTGAGCGTGTTGGGATAGTTCTGGTAATCCATGGTGTCAGGTTGCAAAATGATTTAATTGAGAGTCTTGGAAACAGTTGCTTCTGTTGTTTTACACATTGAATCCACCACAGACTTTGTGAATCCATTGATGTCATCAGTGACGTCGACGGTTTCTCACTTGTTTTGGAGCTTTTGAATTTATCGCACCGTCATCATAAATAGGAATGCTCAGTTGTTATGGATTGACAGACCGTTTTTATGGAAGACATTCTGACATGTCACAGCAGGAAAAGCAGGTGTAAAGAATGAAATGAATAATGGATGAATTCCATTTAGCTGCCTCAGTTTCAGGGTCCTGGTGTTGTGCGTGCTGGCTCACTGTCACACTGTCACACTATCATGGCGTACTGGGACACTGGGGATAGAAAACATCATGAAAACATCTCCAGTAAAATCAATCATCAATCTGATGAGGACTGTGTGATACAGCTGAAAGCTCCCGAACAAGGAGGTAGGAAGACCTTGAGTGAGCATCCTCTTGTTAATTGTTGTTTCCAAGTTTCCCACAGTTTCAGCGAACCAGTTCAGTATCACCGAGCACATATCTCAGTCCAGTTAAGTTCACTCATGTGCTGTGATATTGCAGAATCTTTTGACCATCTGCTGTGAAAACCTGTGACTTGACTCGAGGCTTATCAGAGAGCAGAGTGGTGGTTATGGCAGGCTGTGTAGTTACAGGTGGTCGGGTTGATGTTTTTGTCTTTATTTAATTATTTAGTGTGTGTGTGTGTGTGTGTGTGCGTGTGTGTGTGTGTGCAGGTGCAGCTGTTTGTTGATCACTTATCACACGATGTATCCTTCTTAAAAAGAGAGCTTACTGCTGTCATGCATGCCTCAGTGAAGGCTTCATGCCAGAATGCATCAGCAGATTTGTCAGTGTATTGATTGCAAATAAAATGACCCGCTAGATCAACATGAGGTGATTCTTTTTGTGGTTTTGTTTGCTGGAGTGCTGCCTGACGTTGTTGTTTTTAGAAATAGGCCACAGACTTATGTGGGAGGGTGGTCTCTGTGGTTAATTAGGCTATCCTGGAGGCAGAAGGTCACATTTGTTCATTTCTTACTAAGGTTGTGTGCAAAGCCCTCGCTAAATTCTGGGTATGTCTCTTGGAAACATTTGTAAAGCAGCCAACAGTGTATGCAGGAAGTCACCTTTGCCTCACACACTGTCAGATAATGCCAATAAGAGGTTTTAGGAGGCCTTATGATATATTAAAGTCAACTGTCAATCCTTGGTAAGTGTACAGTGTGGGCGGCCGGGGCTCAGAAGGTAGAGCAGATCGTCCACCAGTCGGAAGATCGGCCGTTCTTCTCCTTCAGTCTGCATGTCGAAGTATCCTTGAGCAAGATACTGATACCAAAACTGCTCCCGATGGCTGTTCCTTTGTGTTAAAAAACTGAGTAGTGGGTGGCACCTTGTATGGTAGCTTCAGCCACCTGTCAATCCTTGGTAAGTGTGCAGTGTGGGCAGCCCTGGCTCAGAAGGTAGAGCAGATCGTCCACCAATCGGAAGATCGGCCGTTTGAGCCCTAGCTCCTCCAGTCTGCATGTCGAAGTATCCTTGAGCAAGATACTGATACTAAAATTGCTCCCGATGGCTGTTCCCGTGTGTTAAAAAACTGAGTAGCTGGTGGCACCTGGTATGGTAGCCTCAGCCATCTATCAATCCTTGGTAAGTGTGCAGTGTGGGCGGCTGTAGCTCAATAGGTAGAGTAGATCATCCACTAATTGGAAGATCGGCCGTATGAGCCCCAGCTCCTTCAGTCTGCATGTTGAAGTATCCTTGAGCAAGATACTGAACCCCAAATTGCACCTGATGGCTGCTCCATCGCTGTGTGAGTGCGTTAAAAACTGAGTAGCAGGTGCCACCTTGTATGGTAGCCTCAGCCACCAGTGTACGAATCGGTGAATGTAGTTTAAAAAGCACTCGAGTGGTTGGATGACTTGAAAGGCACTATGTAAGTGCAGTCCAGTTACCATTTACGTAGGTAAGACTTTCTTTTATTTAGGCTATATTGAGGAAGCACAATGAGAAATATGTGTTTCAGAGTTAGTAGTTTTCATGCAGTTTAGAATAAGTGTAATTATGTTAACCTTACTGATGGCTTTTAGTCATTTAATGTGAGGTTATTAGGATGATGTGTTGTATTTTCCGGTCTTTTGTAATTCTACTTTTTTTTCTCTTTAATCTATGCCAGTTAGCTCAGTAAGCTACACAACAGTTAGCCACACCTCACAGTTACTGGGTATTTAGTAGCATCTAATCTCTAGGTAAGAACCATCTTGTGTGGTGCAACAGGGTTTCATTTGCTGAACAGGGGAGCACAGTAAAAGTGACTCAGGTTTATTTATCTTTATGGTAACAGGAGATAACTCTTGACACCCCTGTAAAAAAATGTTTTTCCAGCTCAAACCAACCTCCTGTGTGCTGCAGCTTGGTTGACCGGGGTATGTTATCTTGTCACTGTTGTAGCCGACAGTGTGTGTGTGGGTAAATACTGTGATCAGCTCCTCCAAAGTCCTTTTTTGCTCCACTCAGTCCTGCGCTGCTGCAGAGTAACTTCATTCGATCTTCCGTGAAGCTCTGTGAATCGAACCAG